GGCGCGGCTGCCCTTCCCGCCCTCCGTCTCTCTCTCTCTTCCCCCCCCTCAGAGAAACCCCGCCAGCCCCAAACGACGCAGGCGAGTCAGCGCCGTTTTCTCCCCGGCCGCCACTCCGAAGCGGCTCCGGTTGGCCAACAGAGGGACGGGACGGGACGGAGGAGGCCTCCCTTACCGGAACCGGGGCCGGGAAACCCTCCAGGCGCCTCCCGAGTTCCACCGTCCTCGGGGCCGTCCGGGAAGGCCGCGAGAGGCCGCCTCGCTGAGGCGCCTCACCAACCGCCACCGCCCCGCAGCTGCGCCGAAGGCCGGGCACGCCCTGCGCAGGCGCGCGTGGCTCGCGGGGGGGGGGTCACGTGCCCGGGTGGGGCGTGGCTTGGCGGCCATGTCACGGGGTAGGCGCGGCCTGGTGGTCATGTGGCTGGGTGGGCGTGGCCAACTTAATGATTATTCATATTTCTATTAACGTTCGCGTTCTTCCCTGCGCCTGCCATAACGAAAAACCTCCACCAGGTGGCAGGCTATTGTTGTTAATGTGCAATTTCTTTCCTCCGCCTGCCATAACGCAAAATGGCCACGAGATGGCGGGATGTTATTGTCAAGGCAATTTCCCATAGACTTTGAAAACCGCGGTTTTCACGTAATTTGAGGTCTATTTTCACCCCGTTTTCCCCACTAGAGCAATGGGGGACACAGAGTAAAATCTCTCGTCGGATTTCGCCACATCTGTAACCTGATTATTTTTATTTCTATTAACTTTCGCGATTCCTTCCTTGTACCTGCCACAACGAAAAACCTCCACCAGGTGGCAGGCTGTTATTGCTGTGCAATTTCTTTCCTCCACCTGCAATGCGAACAATGGCCACGAGACGGCGAGCTATTATTATTAAGTTCTTTCCTCCCCCTGCAATGACGGAAAATGGCCACGAGACGGCGAGCTATTATTGTCAATGCAATTTCCCATAGACTTAGAAAACCGCGGTTTTCATGTAATTTGAGGTCTATTTTCACCCCGTTTTCCCCTCTAGAGTGATGGGGGGACGCAGAGTAAAATCCCTCGTCGGATTTCGCCAGATCTGTAATCTGATTATTTTTATTTATATTAACTTTTGCGATTCCTGCCATAACCAAAAACCTCCACCAGGTGGCAGGCTGTGCAATTTCTGTACTTCACCTGTCATGACGCTGGGCCCTTCCCGGCCGGGTCTCCGATGCCTCCGCCCTGCTGAACCCGGCGCCGCCCGACCCTCGCCGGAGGGTAAGAGAGCCGCGCCCCGGAGCCGTTTGAGAGCAAGGAGGAAGGTCGGCAGCGCGGCTTTTACGCTCCGGAGACCCCGCTTTCTCTTTTCCTTTCCTTGCTTTCCCTTTCCCCTTTCTTTCTTTCCTTTTCTTTCTCCTTTCCCCTTCTCTCCCCTTCTCTTTCTTTCCCTTTTCCCTTTCTTTCTCCTTCCTTTCTTTCATTTTCTTTCTCCTTTCTTTCCCCTTTCCCCTTCTCTCTCCTTCTCCTTCTTTCCCTTTTCCCTTTCTT